ACGTTACGTTACGTTACTAACTAAGTAATTATACTATATAGTAGTAGGTAGTACGTACTAGTAAGTAAGTAGTACTACTAATAATATAGTAGTAACTAACTACTCTCTCTCTCTCTCTCTCTATATATATATATATATATATATATATCTTGAGTTTTTTTTTTTTGGGGAGGGGAGGAGGGGGGGTGGTTATCATCAACTTGAAATTTATACTTATTCTCAAAATTTTTTTTCCTGAAATTTGTTGCTTGAAACTCATGACTTTTAGTGCTTATGACATACTATGCGATTCATTAACTCTGAAATACTGACTCCTTTTAACCTATTTAAGGTTGGCAATAGACCATGCGAGCTCTAGCCCTAGTCCGGCCTTGACTGGCTAATGAGACCCTAGTGCAGGCTCTGAACTTGCCCTGTTTAAGTCGGGTGGGGCTGGCCAGACCTTATAAATCGAAAGAAAACAAAAAGTAAAAAGGGTTGGGAGGGGCCAAGCCAGGCTTATTGTGGCGCAGTCCCAAGGCTGGCATTCAAGCCACATTTTGTGGCCCAGGCCCTAGTTTTTCGAGGCCTGGCCGTGCTTCCCGACCCATTGTCAGTCCTAATTGCTACATTGGTTACCTCCCAAGAAAATGATCGTGATTGTGGCTTGATGATCCCAACTATCTTCCATCCACATTTATTGTGGTTCAACTTCGTCCAAGTCCATGTAATAGTTAGAAAGGGAATCACAAGATTGAAACGTTTGTGTTCTAACTCATACCAACCGAAACCTACAAGAAACGAAGGAATGAATTTGGCATAATCATAACTGATGGGATTGGAAGCGGGATATGGATTGAGAGCAGGGAATGGTGAATGGATAGAACCCTATGGTTGGGAGCGCCACCCATAAACTGCATACACGAGGGATCTAGATCCCAACCTTTTGGAGATTTAGATCCTGACCTTTTGGATCTTGATCCTAAAAATAGGAGGATCTTGCTCTTGACCTTGAGTATCTATAGTTTAGAATTATATATGCTCTTTAAAGTAGGGATCTCTTTATTTAAAGCTAGCAAGCAGTGCAACTATATTAAAAGCTAGCTTTATATAAAGAACATGATCAGTTTAGTCATTATCTTGGTCTTTAAGGTCGGGGGATTGAGATCCCAAAATTTTAAAATCAAGATCCCTTGAACATCCCTTTCCTGTAGTGCCTTCCAGAGCGGGATTGCACTTAGGTTGGGACCAACAACTATGTGGTCCATCCCTCTGCTTTCCTTTGCAATGCGCATATTGGGTAGAATCATATCTCAGTGCATGAGATTCGTCTATATGGATTTTATACTTAATTGCAAGCTGAAGAAAAGTAAGAAAATGAAGGTGATTCTCTTTGGGTCACATCTAACCACTAGGGCAGTGTGCTTATTTCTCCCTTTTGAGTTTATGGGCACATATGATTTTGTATAACTGTGAAAACCATAAATGCTGTCATGTACTGGGATATTTAATCCACCTCTAGCAACCATACTCACATGTGCATTTTGTGCTAAAGCTTAGTCAGACTTGCATGTTGCAAACTTGTTATCGTGAAGCTTTTTTCTAGGGTCTAATATCCAAGTTATCCTATGGAAATTGGCATAGAAACAATCCTCTATCGGATATTTTGGATTCTGAGCAAGAGCCTCAATTTTTAGGTTTTGGATTTAGGCTCTCTGCATCATCCATCAATCTAAAGTTTTGGATTGAGGTTTTGGATTTAGCCCCTTGACAAAAAGGACTGTGATTCTAATGGCCTTTTCGACCTCGAGCATAGTAAATGATCTCTTTCCACATGCAACCTTGTATTTATCACCCATGTTTACCATCTGTGGGCCATCTGTTTCTGATGCTATTTTCCTAATCACTATTCGTTTGGACTTGCATTTATAAATTTGACGATTTGATGTCTTGAATACCTAGACTTGCTTGGTCCTTGGGCCTACGAGCCACATGTTACTGGCTTTGTTCCAAAAGGCGGACCACCTAGCGTTTAGGCGGTAAAATAGGCAGCTTTGTCCCTGGGTGGCCGCCTAACCAACTGGGCACCCACTTAGGCGGGTGCCTAGCGCCTAGCCTTGGGCGGCTGTCTAGGCCCTAAATGCCCCTCGTTGAGGGACACTTTTGGGTTTGATAAAAATAAGATTGTAAAAAGTGCGGTTTAGGTTCATTTCAAACATAAACCCTAATAGAGGCCATTTTAAAGAGAAAGAAATATCAAAAAACTAGTTTTTTGTGATTTCCATAGGATTGAGGGGTTTATGAAAGTTACGAGTAATCAATCTAAACATCAAGAAACTAGTTTTTTGTGATTTTCATAGGATTGAAGGGTTTTTCAAAGTTACAAGAAATCAATCTAAACATCACCCATTAAGATTAGATTTAGTTTTGGAGGTTTTATAAGTCTATTAGAGGGTTTTTTGTGTATGGACTATGGAGTGCATGTAGTTTGGATTATTGTATGGAGTATGGAGTATGGATATGGTCTAATACTCTAATGCCTAATGGTTTGAAGTTTAAACTTAAAAGTTTGATTTTTGAATTTGAAATGCATGGAATTATGGACTAAAATATGTATCAATATGCATTTTTAAATTTTGTTTACAAAATATGACATTAAAACACCTTTTTATTCTATTGGGTCGCCCCAGGTTCTTGGCGCCTACCTAGGCGCTGGGCCACCTGGACTACCTCGGCGGCCTATCTGCTGCTCGACATTTTTGGGAACATTGGTTGCTGGTGATGGTGGAATCTATAGTTAGATTTTCATTACTCCAAAGATAGCTTCTCAGTTTGATAACATATAGGCCTAATCTAACATCAAATTACTTGAATTTCAATTATCCGGAGGATGCCTTATAAAAGGTGTACAACTTTTTTTTTCATTCATTAGAAACCCAAACAAAGAAGTGAATATGGTAACCCAAAATGATATATATGTAAAAACCATATCAGATTACGCTTATTTAATCGATCAGCAGCATTTGCAATCCTATGGAGGAACATGAAATAAACAGGGATTCTGGCCAATTTAGATTTAATGATGATATAATGCTCCATATCAATGGAAATAATTTGCCTTTCCAAGTAGCTAGCATCCTGGTCACCTTTGAGACCACTTGATCCTAATGCACCAAATATTTTTATGGAGGTTGTTGAGATTACTTGCTTGAAGAAACATTAACCTTTGATGCAGGTGCATGAGAATTCCTCGAGTGACACATATTCCGCTTGTTTTGCCCAAATTCAAGGCATCCCTTGTACCAATACCCTAAATGCGTCAAATCTTGTTTTCCAATATCAATTTCACTGGCCTTTTTTTATGTAATTCACAATATTTTTCTGGCTTCTACACCTTATTTGCTTTTCAAAGGGATTTTCTTTTACTATAAGAAACACATTTTAATTTTGTATGTTTGATAGTTTTTTCTGTTTCTATTCAACATCTCTTTAAATAAAATAGTTCGCTGAAGGTTTTTATTGGTCCATGAAGCATTTTTACATAAAAAAATTCATAGGAGCAGAAGGTTTGTGACAAGCCATCCTACCCTACTGGTTTAGATGTTTCAATAAATGTGAGGATTTGAGCCTTCCTGATCAAGTAGTTCTATTATTTTTCCCCTTCAAGTGGTTCTTTCAAACCTGCTGCGAGGAGGGCTTGTGGCAACATACCTAGTGCTTGCAGGAGAGACTGCAAATACGTGTTGTCTGGCTATATGAGCTTTCCCTACTGGTCATGATGCTTGTTGAAAAATTAGAACTGCTGTCTAAGTTTGTATATAATACTGTGATGTCATATTAGGCGATAAGGTCACTATGTACAACTCCCTGCAGAGTTTCCTCGACTTGCTTGATGTCTTTGTGCCATATTTTGCAGTGGCAGTTAGTTAGCGACCTATTTAATTATTTGAAGATTTAACTTGAAATCTGCCTAGGTTGTTTTCCTTTTAAAAATGATAACTATTTTATTAAATTATAAGAAAGAGGGAGTATGAAGAGGGTTAGTTTATCAACTGTATTACATATTATCTGCATGTGTTCTGCATTATAGACATCTGTTCTTTGTTATTCACTTTGAAGGTCATCTGTTTGTCTCGTTTGCGAAATTTATGGCATCGTTTGTTATGTTCTTTTCATTTTCATGTGAGTTTGTAAGCATGTTGTGTTGATAGTATGTGTCTTATGCATGTGAACTTATGGATTCTGTTAGAAAGTGGATTATGTAGCTTAATAACGGCTGTTGCGCTCTTATACTTCCCAGGTGTTGAAGAAATTTGGAGTGGAGAAGTTTGAACCTTTAAATGAGGCATTTGATCCCAATAAGCATCTTGCAGTTTTCCAAGTTCCCGAGCCCTCAAAGCCGCCTGGTATTGTTGTTCATGTTTTAAAGGTATGAATTTGACACGGTCTTGTTTACTCTCAGTTCTCACTAAATTATATGCATTTTATGTTTCCATATATACATACTTATCACTTTCATAAGGATTCTGTATCACCAGAGTCTAATTGATACTTTGAATTGTTATCAATTACCAAATAGAAAAAGAGGTTGTTACTTTGATTTCTGTGTGATTGCTTTGTATACTACCTTTGGCTCTTGCTGTAATAGCTTAAATCGGTAAAATGTCAAGTATGTTGTATTTTCCATTGGATGTGTTTATGTACCGACTTGTGAGTTAGAATGTTTGAGTGGGACATTCAAGGATTTTACTTGTTTAATGCATTGTCACTGATGTAATCACTCTGGCTGGTTAGACCTCCAAGTTCTAATCACAATTATATCAAAAACCTTTGAATTCCTTGGATTATTTCTTGGAGCGGCTGTTGATCTCCTATATAATTGTGTATTGAGATCTTTTCGAATTCCTTGATTCATCTGCGAAATTCTCAGATCTTAGTAATACAGTTAGAACCGTTGGAGTTAATTCTTTATTAGTGTTATTAAATGTGATGGAGGACCACAGGGATGGATCCCTAAAATTAGGTATTTGGGGTTTGGTAAAGAATGATTTGGCTAATGACAATTAGGTTCGGGCATTGGCGTGGGTGGATGAGCTTATGCGAGTCTAGGGTCATTGGCATGCATTTGGGTTCGTCTATGGTTTGATGTAGATGGTGAGGGTGTGGAGCTTGGTTTTGGTTTCTTGGAGGTAGCATGGAAGGGTGGTATGGTTTAAGGATTGAATTGAGAGCTGTGGCTGGTAATGGTGTATGATGGGTGATGGCATATGGGGTTTAGGGATTGATGAGAATGGTGGATGTCTGGGGTTGTGGATTGTGATTGAGATGTATGGAGTGTCAGATTGAGAAGAGACGGATGAAATGCTCATGGGACAAACAAAATAGCTTGAGGACCGAGTTATGGGCATAGAATGAGCACCACAGCAAAGCTATGGTTTTTGAAGTCAGTGTCACCAGAGGGGGATCAATTCATACCACCAATAAATTGCAAGAAGCAACTCTTATTCTGTTCTTAAAAGCATGAATCTGGCATAGGAGTTGGCCTTTACATTTGTATATGTACATGTTCACGACTCCTAATTTTAAGCATGGGTTTGGCCATAGGCCTTGGCCTTTACATTTATATTTATACAGGTTCTCAACTCCTAATTTTCTCTTACATGGGTTATGAATAATATACCAATCTTGACTGGGGGATCAATTCACACCACCAATAAATTGCAAGAAGCAACTCTTATTTTCATTTATCAAAAGAATGGATCTGGTCATAGGCGTGCCCTTCGCATTTATATTCATGCAGGTTCTGATCTGAACTCCTACTATTTTCCTGCATGATTTATGAATAATCCTAATCTTCACTCCTATTTTTAAAAGGAAATCCAACTAACATGTAGAAATTTAACCAACCCGGAAAATTAAGTCAAAAGGAGATGAAAATTATAACCTCCAAAGAAAATTTAAATACAATATGGAGAACAAACACAATAGAATATGGAGAGTAGAACCAAAGTAGAACGCGCATTGGACTCATGCCCCAATTTACATGCTTCTAAAGGTATGTTCTTCTTTTTGCTTGTACCTTCCTTTTCCCTGTACATCTTGACATTAGAGACAGACCTAAAAACTCATCTCAGCAGGCTCCATGACCTGATCCAGTTGACCAAGTCACAGATGAAAAATTAGAACAAATGTAAACATCAAAAGTTCCTTAAAAATCACAGATCCAATAAAACATAATATGATATTATATTTTTAAAAAGATAGTAAATGAAATAAAAAAAAGATAGTAAATAATTATACTGTTTTGGGTGTGCTAATTTCCATCTTTGTGCTCTTCAAATAATTTTTCCCTGAGAAAAAATTCAGGTTTTACAAGTTTTCGCACTATGGATTGGATATCCATAAAAAGTCATGGATCTTTTATTTATTTCTTGGCTCTTTGGGAGAATATGAGTTTCTAAGTATGTGGGCTGGAATAAGGGTTCAAACATCCAAATGACTTCGACAGGTCTTATATTTCCTTAAGAAAACAGAAATCTTATTCGGGTTCTGTTTACCTTTCTAGAGAAGGAAATAAAGTTCAGACTCAAAAACAGTTAATGACTCGATGGCTGCCTCTATAGACTCATTCAAGTCGTTTAAAGAAAAACATTTCCCTTGAAGCTCTGATATATGAATATACTAATGATCATTGAGTCTAAGTGTAAATTTTTACGAGATAAATGAGAAAAGCATGTTTCAGGTGGCATTGCCCCCCCTGGCTCTGTAAACTTTAATGTTTTACTTGTAGGCTTGTTAGCAGTCCCGGCCTGATGAGGGCTGAAATCATTTAAGTAGGCCTGGCTTGAAATATTACCTATGAGGTCCAAATCCCAAAACTCAGACCTGGCCGGGCCTTTTGCATATGTGGGTTTGTAGATGTAGGAAAAATATTTATTTTAAAAGCTTATGAAATAATTTGGCTGGGCCCGAGCACAAAAATATGCTGGGCCTGCCAAAGCCCGGCCCATACTGGGCCATGGGCTTACCCAGCCAAACTGGGTCCCAATTGAAAGCCTGCCGGCCATCCCAGCCCCTTAACAGCCCCTGTTATATCTTCCCACTTACAGTTGCTAGTAATGAAGTTAATTATAAACTGAACAATAGTAAAATGGTTATTACTTTTCTGTGGGAAATAAAATGATTATTATTACTTGTTAAGTGAGAAGAGCAATAGACCTCATAATAGAAAGATTTATTAGTTAATGGAGTCGAACAATAGAACTTAATATGGCTTAATTTTATATTTCTATTGTCCTTTTCGAGCTTTTAAAAAAGTCTTGCTATTATCATTGACACGTGGACCAATAACTGCAATTACTGTTTTCTTTTCTTCATGCTATTTAAAACTTGGGTGCAGTTTATTTTATCGACTCAGTCTTTACCTTTCTTGCAGTCTGGATACACACTTTATGATCGGGTTATGCGCCCTGCTGAAGTTGGTGTTACAGAGGCTGTAAGCAATGAGGCAGAAGGAAGTTCAGAGGCATGAAAAATATTTGGGTCTTGATATTTAAAATATTTTCCATATAGTTTATTTATTTGGGAAACCTGTATATTGAGTAAGATATTGAGCTTTTTTTCTATTTTGGTTGAGGTTGTCTCTCAAATTTTGCTAACATTTAGGATAGGCTTATTTAAACTAAATCATGTGTTTTGCACCGTGGGCAGTGGAGGAAAGTTACGGTTTTGTAGACAGATATGTAGAGCACTGTAATTTTTCTGCCACAATTTTGGTTGCTTGCATTTTAGTTTTTATGTTCATTCTTTTTACCAGTAGTGGTGATCTTGATCTCAGTTGTTTAGTTGGACAGAAAATAATTCTTTTTGGTTAGCACCAATTGTATTTGAATGTATTCTAGCAAGATTGTGTATGGGTTTTAATTTATGGATCTGTTCAAGTCTGGGAGCTCTCTCACTTTTGAGCTTTGAGTGTGTAATGCTGAATATATGTGGTGGGACTTTTGTACACAGCAGGTGCTTTTTCTTCATTGTGATTACATTTTCTACTTATTTTTCACTTTTAGTACGACTGGTATGCAATGGGTTGGCCGGCCTGCAGTTAGTAAAACAAATTCTTTAGTGGCTTTGTTTTTTATTTTTTATTTTTCCCGAAACGTTAACTCGGATTTCATTTGAGGAAATGAAAGTTGCAATTACAATGAAAGCATAGAAAGCAAATTCAAACAAGGAGGTACTGCAAATCGGAGATCAAATGCCTCTACAAGTTGATAGCTCGGGAGTGATTGAAATGAAGATATGATACTGAAGTCGAACAACTCCATTTGGCCATAAACTCTTCTTTCCTTCAAAGGACATTCAGGTACCTTACCTACCTAGTGATTCATTGGGGAAGCTTTGAATTAATGAGATGAAGGAACAGAATATTTCAAATTTCTATGAATCTCTATGATCATAAAGGGCTGATAGATATGTATGGGAGGGGGCACATCCAATCCCTGTTCGTACTTGAGAATAGAAGGTTAGGAAGCTAGAGCTTTCAAAGGATTGAGCCGCCCCTTGCTTCTTTTGCATGGGCATCTGCCTCCCTTTTTTGTTCCCTGTTGATATGCTTGAATGGTACCTTACGTTCTTGTAACTCAAAAGAATTTCATCCATAATATTGCTCCATGCCCATGATGGTTGATCTGGAAATTTCAACCAATTTATAATTTTGGCTGAATCTATCTCCGCATTACTCCAGAATGATTAGGGCCCAATCTGATAATACCAAGACTTTAATGCCTATAGTTCGGCCTCATTAATACCGCAAGGATACTATTATTGCTCCATTAGAATCCCTTAACATACCTTCATATCCCACAATCTACCCCTCTTTATGCTGCCATCAAAATTAATCCCTGGACATACCTTCATATCCCACAATCTACCCCTCTTTATGCTGCCATCAAAATTAAGTTTGACTCATGATTTAGGTGTGCTCTATTGTGATGAATTTACTTTCTTCTTATAATATAGCAATTCTTTGACATTGTTTACAAAGAACCCTTTAGGGACTTCCAAAGGCCGGGAGGAGCTTGCGCCCACATTATGACCAACGAAATGATAGATGGTTGTATTTGGTGTACCTCCTTAGACCTGCCCTCAAACGTTATGTAATTTCTCTCCTTCCACAGCTTCCACATTACTGCAGCCATTACAATCTTCCAAACGCTGGGCCCGGTATCGAGAATGGGGAGACCAATCTTGCTCTAAAAATGCTCAATTTGTTGCGGTTGGATCTAACTCAGGGGTGGCAATGGACTTGGATCAGACCTGAGATCCGATGATAGACCCAACCCAGATCTGGGTATGGTCCAAAACAGGGTCAAAATCTTGGACTCGAACATTATTTGGGTTCAGGTTTAGGTCCATGTAGACCTGACCTAGACCTAACTTGAATAGTTATGATATTTAAATAATATTTTAT